AAGTGCCTGAATCCAAAAGTGAAGAGAGGGTAGTAAAAAGTACGATAACTCCTGATAATAAGAAGTGAAATGTAGAATTTAGTAAGTTCAAGAAGAGCACAGCAGTCAATGTTATTACTAAAAATGTTACGAATAGTACCTACAGATTTTTTAGAGAGTTTAATTTAAATTTCACGGTAAATGTTTCCGACGAATCAGGAACAAGTGTTTAGATACATAGGAAAAAAGCTGCCACTTTCGTGGCATGCTTGTATAAAACATTTTTATAATTGGACGCGTGTGTATCAGCGGGAGCTTAATTAAAATTTTTGCTACGAACGAGGGCTTATTAAAAATTCGCTATTAAAACTTCGCGATGTGAGAATTCTGTTCTCTTTCTCATTTTCTCGTTTGATACTCCTCTCGTTTTTGGGATGATTTTTTTCTCTGGATGTTCACATGAAGAGTTTTGATTTCGATTTTGATTCGCACGATCGGAACCTGTACGCTGTGCAACAACTGTGAAGCGAAAGTAAATCCGGTAATTCGTAATTAATCAAACAGAATCGCTCCCTTCGCGACTCGGATCCCTTCAATTTTCGCTTTCAATGGAATTCGTTCGATCACCGGGGCACCACCTAAATGAAACGTCCGAGTAGCAGATACATGGGCACGATCGTAACAGGTGTAACAACCTGTTACAACGCCGGCGTATTAAATGAGTTACGGGCGAATGAACCGGCGGTAGAAAGGGGATGGGGGAGGTAAACAGTGCTAATGTGAATTAAACATTGACACGTGTCGCTCGCGCGCGCGAAGAAAATTATTATTGACACCGTTCGCTGAAATTATTAGTGGGATAAAGTCCAGAGAGAATAAAACAGCGTACTTTGTATAGCGGATAATACGAATCCTCTAAATGCAGGAAAACAGTTATAGAAAAAGTTTCTATTTCCATCACGTTTTTAAAAGTGTACTGCTTGTTGAATATATGCCAAATACATTGTAATAAATTTAAAGGACCCTACGGAACCAGTCACTTTTGACTTCCAGTAGTTCTAACGTTAAGTAGAACGACACTGTCTAAGTCAGCCAAAAGAGGCAACCTCGGTATCGATGTAATTACCAATCAATTACAATTTCCAACGCAACTATCAACAAATTAAACTTATTAAATATCAATGTAATATTCTAAGAATGTTATCAATTAAACAGACAATAATCTTTCCACGTACAAAACTAATAACAATAACTACACAGAATCATATCACCTGCAGGAGCGAGCATTAGATTATCCAAAAAGTTCATACAATTACTAGCTGGAAAATAGAAATCGACTGGCTAAATCGATAAAAAAGTATCGAACCCGTCGAAACAAACTTGGATTTGTTAATTTTTCCCAAAGATCAGACCAACTTTTCCGAACAGCCACATAGAATGGTAGTATCGTAAAGCGTTCATCGAAGAATTCCATTAACATCAATGGGGGGATAACGAAACCAGCGAATGGCGAAACGATTGCAACTCGAAAGCAACGATTGCAATTCACCGAATTCGATTGCATCGGCACGACGGCGTACGAGCACGGCCGCGCCCGGGAGTCATTGTTGCTGCGAAAATCGCTGCGAACGGGGCGTATTAGCCGCCCCGTGGCGTTTCTCGCCCATCTACACTTCCACCTATACTTATTCGTTCGCGTCTCGGCGTCGGCTGCTGCCAGAGTCGAAGGAACTTTCACCACCTCGGATAATATTCTGGGGATCGCAGGGCCCTCTCGAAAGCATTCAATTTGAATCGGGGAAGAGGGTGGGGCGTTTTACCGTCCGAAACAGAATTTCGTGACTCTGAATTAATGTTCGACAGACGAATTCGTCTGAACTTTGGTAATTTCGCTGTGGAATTATGGAGACTGTGATCCTGCAACACGTCGAACGGAATTGATTTCTGTCAACCGTTGAAGAATGCTTTAAATGTATCGACGAATAATCTACCGTGTATATTTTACGAAGTTCCGTGTACGTTTAATGTGTCGCAACTAAATTTGGAGAAACATTAATTTAATAACTGTTTGTCATTATTTAAATTTTTAAAGGAGAATTTCTTTTTTATATTCTACCCTGTTCTTTTAGTAATGGAAATTGTATTAATAACAAATACTTAAGTCGATTGACATTAATTACAATTTAAATAACGTAAGATAAATCAGATACGTATCCCTTATTTTTGACTGCTTAACAGAGATACGAAGTTTCATCAAAATCGGAGGGGGACACTTCTGTGCCTTCCCTTGTAAGGAAGGCATCAAGTCCCTTCACAGCAGTAGCTTGATCATATTTATCAGTTAGGACTTTTATAATTATCGGTTACGGCCTTTAACAAGTTACCAGATCGGTCATCCAACAGTAGTATCTGGATCGGTTTTATCGTCTAGGGCCCCTGACGAGTCAGGGGGATGATAATCGAACAGCAATAGCTTCTGCACGTTTATCGGTTAGGATCTTTAGCGAATCAGGTGGTTGGTTATCCAACATAATTAAGAATGTAACAGAGAAACGAGCTCCGAATGAAAATAGGCCGCCAGAGGCACACTCCCGTCCGGCCAGGTGAACACGCTGCTCAATTAAGGTGCTCCCGGTCCGAGTGAAATTTCTCCACCGTAACAATAACGTTTGCTCTTGCGTTCTCTGACCCCGCTCCGTGGTAGCCGGTAAAAGTCCGTGTTGTAATCTGGCTCACGGGGCAGACGTTGCGTAATAATTAAAACGCGAACACACCGGAGACGAAGAAGAAAAAGTGTGTAGGTATCCCGGCGCTGTGATCACGAAGGATGCTCGGACGCCCGTTGGCGTTTGCGCTCGAATGTTTATTAACGTTCTCCCCCCGCACATTTTTATGGATGACGATCGAACGTTTTTTCGGGAGCCAATGATGGGAACGTTTAACGACATTGCACGACGAAAAAAAAAAAGTAAATTTGTTTCATCGCTTTGGCCCGATAATAACCGGGCCTGATGAAATTCCTTCTGCTTTTTTTTTATCGTGGATTGATGCACGGCACCAAATTGATGTTGAATTGCTGTTAGTAGCAAAAAATGAATGTCCATATTTTGATATTATATTCGCGCGTTGTTGAACAGTTGCGAAATTCAATGCGGTTGGTATTGGAGTAAATTTTTCAGCGCTATCCCAGGACTTTGAATCTTTCCGTTATGATTCGAGGCAGTGGGCAGGTGATCTGTGTTAATGGATGAATTATTTTTCGATAAACTGGTTGTGTAATGCAAATTTCTTGGAGTAGAATTCCTTATACATGATTTTGATTTTAAAGGAAAGAATTATATTAACGTAGGTGGATATAACTCATCGATGAATTAAAGTATAACGAAGAAATCATTATGTATTAGCGAAACTGTAATTGAACAATTGAGTTCTAAATGAAAGAGAGTGTTTTAAAGTAAATTAGAAAGATAGGTGAATTGAACTTTCAATCAATATGGAACACGGTCTACCGTAAGGATGTTCGGAAAGATTAAGCGGAGATCACTTTCATTCCGTTACATCCTAGCTAAATGACTTCCTATTCGTATTATAAATTACTCGACTGATGAATTCCTTGCGGAAATCATCGGCACCTGCAACAAAGGCGAAGTGAAAGCTCCGTTTAGTAGAATCCTTACAACTTATTACCAACAGACAAATGAGTAATTCTTACTCAATGTATTACCGTAATAAAGAGAACGGAAGCCTAACAATATAATTAAAAAAGCATTAAACATTCTCTCCTTTTCTGGATTTAATTCCGAGGTATGATCTAAGATGGAGCATAAATGAATACATGGAAAGAATGTAAAAATGAAAGAGCAAACCTCTTTATGCCATTTCACGTATACTCATAGACTGGGGTCTCATTATCTGTGCGTAGACGTTAATAACAATTGCACAGAACCAAAAGTCAATTATCCGACTAATGTCTATGTATAGTCATTATATTAGATTAGTAGGTAACACAAGCGGCCTTTCGAACAACGCCAACTATACTATTATTATTACAATCGCGATTATTACAGTTATATTACAATCATGAAATACGTGAAATTTATGAATTTTTTGTTGCACCATAATATACTCTCTTCTATCGAGTATAATAGGAGAGACATAATTAGTTAATATTAATTTTTATTAAGAATCTCTATATTTTTATGTGTTCAATCGAAAGGGTTGTCAAGAATAGTTTATTTAAATCAATTCACAGGGGAGTCCCTGATGGATAATCTCGGAGACCGGACATGTCTTGAATCAAGTTAAATAAATGAAATGTCGTGCAGCGGGACAGCCGGCTGTAACATTGGTGTCAGACAACAATATATTTTAAACCACAGTGCGTCGCCGACCTCGTTCGAGCGGTATCCTAACATCGGCGATGCAACGTCTCGGCGCGGGGTAAACATTCCGCGAGCATCGAGATTATCTCTGTTCCCTTTCCCCCTCGCGATAAATGAATCATCGGGTGCTTCCTCCGGCAACGAGGTCGGCGAATTACCACATTGATGCCCCGGATTTTACCGAACAATCGACAGGGACCACCGTTTGGCTTTTAGGGTCGCACGACCCTGTGCAACCCAGACGCCACGGCCCCTTGATCGTGGATCATCACGATTCTCCCGTTCAGATTATGATGCCGTACGTGGATTGTTACACGGTTACAGTGCAGAAAGAGACAGAGAAAAAAACCAGAGAACGGTGGAGATGAACGGAGAAAGAGAGAGAGAGAGAGGGATCTGTTAAAGAGGGGGTTTGAGGTGTACACAGGATGGATGGGAGGATGGTAGGGGGATTTTTGTCGCGACGGTGGTGGTGATGGTGGTGGTGGTGGTCACGAAAGTTAGGTGTTATGAACGGCAGATGATGAACAGGGGAGGCGACAAAGGTGGGGAGATCGACGGAAGGGCGGGGAATCGCGAAGAAAGGCTAGAGCTATAAAAGAGGCGCCGGGCCCGACGATGGGCATCAAACACCTCAACATGAAGGTACGTGTGGCAAGAACGGTGAAACACGGTGCACATTTATTGGACCGAGAACACGACACTCCACGTTCGATCCATCCTTCGATATATCGGTTTTTCGCTCGAGACTCACCTGGTTTGTTTCTTCCGTTACAGGTGTTCGCGGTTACCGTCTTCTTGGCGCTCATAGCCACCACCTACGGTGAGTACCATTAATCAGGAACACGAGGTTCCGATGTGTTGGGGGAATTGTATCACGGACCGATCGTACGATTAGGGAGGCTCTGACAAGGGAAGAACGTCTACTGTCCGATTTCGATTTGAACGGGGTTTTGTGAGATGATAGTATACAGATTCATAATGATACTGTGTGAAATATTAGGTATAGATGCTCAATAATTTTAAAGATATAAACAAATGAAATTACGAACCTTCAAGGTATACTGTGAATATATAGAAAAATATTTCGACGAACGGGAATGGATTCGAGGACCTCCGAATTATGTCAACTTCACTTGTACCGATCATCACTTTCACGGCTACTGTCTCAAAGATCCCTCCACATTGGAGAACCAACTTCTCTCGAATCAAAACTCCATCAATATTATTCGCGAATCCCTGAATCTACGTCCGTAGATAATCTTGAAAACTCATTCCTTCCACTGCAAGCCTCCCCTAACTAAAACGATCTCGATTAAATTACAACACGTCCTAGAGATCTGCACTTCCATGTGCATTAGCGAAAAGACCCTCCATATTGGAGAACCAATTTTCTTCAAATCAAAACTCTATCGATATGACTCTAAACCCTTGAACCCAATTACATAAATACCCAAAAAGAACTAATTTCTTCCACTACAAATCCTCTTTAATCATCATAAACACCTAATCATCGAACCACTTCACATTCACATCTACCACGTCAATCGTCCTCGGCTTTTGCGGATTATTTATCTCTCTGATACGAATCGTGTCAGTAGCCAAAGGGTCAAACGCCCAGTCTCGGACGTTTAATTCCACGGATCCCTCGAAGGTATAATTCCACGGATCTCTCGAACGTCAGACCCTCGTCGAATCGTTCACGTGTTATTTCTCGCGGAGTTGCATACCCGATTCATGGCCTGAAGGAACGGTGGAAAGTGACCTGGCGGCCTCCACCGGTTCTCTCGACGAGTTAAAAAAACCGACGCGACGAGTGCACGCTCTTGTTTCGCCTTGCAGCTGGTTACATAAGCAGCGGCTGGTCCGGCGGCGGTGGCGGCAGCGGTTGGTCCGGAGGTGGCGGCGGCGGCTGGAAATCTGGAGGTGGAGGCGGCGGATGGTCCGGCGGCGGCGGTGGTGGAAAGATCATCAAGGTGATCACCGTGAGCGGAGGTGGCGGCGGATGGCCTAGCGGCGGTGGCGGAGGATGGCCGAGCGGCGGCGGCGGAGGATGGTCCGGAGGCGGTGGTGGATGGCCTAGCGGCGGCGGTGGTGGATGGAAAGTCGGTGGAGGCGGATGGAGCGGCGGCGGCGGTGGTGGATGGCCGAGCGGCGGTGGCGGTGGTGAGTGATATAAAGTTTATTTTATTCATGTGAACGAAACGTTCAATATAAGTGAAGTGTTGTCTATTTATTTATACACTTATTGAGAGTGTACAAAAATTTTGTTAGGAATTTTTAATAGTTTTTGTTTTATATATATATATCGCACTGAAGTGAGCACCTTGAAAAATTTGTGTAGTGATAGCGTTGATGATTCCGGAAGAACGTACCATCGGAATTAGAAAATTCGAACTAATTTCTTGCGTCGTTATCATAGGTACCAAAAAGATGTGGAGGTTTAAAGCTCAAGTTTCGAAGTTCGGTACATTTTTTAGCCATTTTTCATTGTAAATATAATTGCATAAAATCTCCAATCTGGTTACTAGTTTTGTATTTTATGTTTGTATCTTTTTCTATTTTGTCGTTAATATTAACGAACGATAATGTATGCTAACAAGTTTTCAGTCGACTGATCGGTTCGAACGGTTGAAACGCCAGGAAAATTAGTCGGTCCTGGAATCGTGAAACGCGTCACCCTTTCGCAGAAATAAATGGCCGGGTGGTGAGGGAGGCGTAAAGCGTCTAAATTTACCGCTCGCCGTTTAAATACCAATTAAGCTGTTTGCGGGGTCCCGACTCTGTAATAAAACTTCCAACGGTGGAAAACACGAACGAAAAAAAAAAAAAAGAAATCAAATAGAAGGGTAAAATGAAGCTCCAATCGAACGATCGAAAACCCTCGACTATCATTCGTTATCTGTAAAAGCGACATAAACACTCGATTCTGTTCCTCGTTTGGGCTCGAGGTTTCGCGATTAATTAACAGAATCACCCCGAGAATTAAACGGAGGAGAGAGAGAGAGAGAGAGAGAGAGAGAGAGAGAGAAAAAGAAGATGAAACAAAACAAACGGGGTTCTCCGACGAATTTAATTGGGGACGATATGACGTAACGAACAATCCCACGACGGATATGTATATCGTTTCCGCTCGTTTGATTAAAGGGACCCTGAGCTTACGGAATAATTAAAAACAACAATCCACCACCCCTTCCCCTCGGTAGGGATCCCAGCGGACAAAGAACCGTAAACAAAAGCCCCCGGGGACATCGTTCGTTGCAGAGACAGCGTACGCCCAAACCCGTTTTCCAACCCCGCCTTTCGATTAACGCACGCAAAATTCTTTTCAGGCTGGTGGTAAGAGACACCGTGATATCCGTGGATAATTAGAAGGAAATTTGCTCACCGATCACCAACCGCACATCTTGGCTGTAATTCACCGATTGTCGGTTCACGAAGGGTACCTTCGATCCCCCTCTTCTTAGGCGGACTCTCGTCGTGAAAACAGGGAAAACGAGAAAAGAGAAAGGATGAAAAAAGAAATGCTGAAAAACACTCCTCGAGGACCATGGTTTCCACGTGTTCCGCCGCCCAAAACCGCGGAAACAACAACGACATGGAAGAACAACGGAGACCCTCGAACCCTGTTGCGGGCAAACGCGACAAAGTTTTTCTTTCTTCTCCGAGACTCTTTGTCTTCCACGGAACCGCGACATCGACAAGGATGTGGTCCTCTCTACGGAAACGATGGTCGAGATCGACGATTTCGCAACGACGGACACTCGTCTTTTCAGCCTTGGACAACCTTTGGCTTGTGTATATTCGATTTTAGTGTTAGCTCGTGAACAACGCTGTACATACGCGAAAAATATCACGAGGAGGGTGACAGGGTACTCTTCGATGAAGCATTTAGCGAATAACATTGTAGATCTTGTAAATTGACACACATACACGTACAGTACGAGAGCAAAAGATTCACACATACATACACGTACACACCACCCCACGCCCTTCTACGGACACACGTACACAGAACGATTACACCGCGCAGGATTCGTTTCTTCTTTTGTACCTTCCTTTTTCTTTTATACGAACAGTCTTCGACAGAAGAACGTGCAACAATTAAAATCTCATTGACACGAATATTACGATCGATCTTGTTTTATTATTTCCACCCGAGCTTTAGTGTGACTTATGAGTGAGTACTAAAAATCCACAAATGTATGAACGAAGGTTTAAATAATAAAATAACTACGATAAAAGCATCAATACGAAACTGTATCAAAGTTGATGAGCGTTACTTTGAGCAATTATTAAAATTAATTTTCTGCAAATCAAAAGCAACTGAGATACTAAAGGTGGTTTTGTTAGATGGGACACCCTGTACCTTTCAAGCAAAGAGTAAGTTTCAACACCTGTCGTTCCGTACAGCACACACTGGCGGCCCAACCGTATCGTAACGAAAAACGAGTTTAAACGCGTGCAAATGCTCGGTATCTGATCGATTTCCTATCGATTTGCGAGAGTTCCGTGGTCATCTTGCAACGGGACCAGGAATGCGGGGGAAATTAAAATCGCGAACGGTCCGGGAACACAGGCGTGGCTGGGCCGCGATATTGCTGAACGAATGGATTTACTATCGGCCGGTGTCTAGCAATAACATTCCCGGTTACGATATTGCAACGGCGTAAATATCATGGACACACGGCTGTGGCGCGATGCTCTCGCAAATGATCGACTCTGAGGGTTTACGCGCGCGATAGCGGCGTTGGTTCCTCGTTATCTACGTCGTTTTTGGCGACTTCGCGACACCACCTTGAATTATGATACAGGAAACGGTGGTCATCGGCCATTCTTTTAAATGTTCGCGAAACCGGATTAAATCAACGCTGTTTGCAGACGGGATATACAATACTTGCTGTTTTGTGCACCCAGGCTACGTACACGTGTCGGTGCACTCGGTGAAAATGGTAACGGATTTTATTTTTGAAATGATAACGCTGCGCTGGGAATAACAATGAAAGATGGCATTTGTGTTGGGCTGACAGAATATGCTGGTAATTATGTAGATTCTGATTGATGGTTTTTACGCTGGGGTAAATGTAGATCGTAGTTAGCCCAACGTACTCGAGACACCGTGATTTGAATATGTAAGATGTAACACGCATGTCGTGCCAGACTGAACGGATCTGATATATATGAAATCGATACTGGCAGACGTAGCCAATGTGATACCGAGGTTTGGTAGAAGCGATGTAGACAGTAGACAAGGCTGCAAGTAGAGAACATTGGACCTGTCAAACAGGAACTTTGATGAACGATATTCGTATAGAATGAAATATGCAATTCTTAAATTGTGAAATAATTGTCTACATTCATAGGTGTCACATAGTCATATCAAACCTGATGGAAGCGATACTAAAAGCCTTGAAATCCGACGAAGACCTCGGCAGGTCGCTTAAGCCTGACACAGGTCATATCAGAACCAGTAGACCTGATTAGAGACCCGATGTATGTGGTGCCAGAGCCACCAGTTTCCATATAGGCAATAGTAGGCCTGACAGACCCGATACTGATTATAGCAGACGTTACGACAGCCACGATGGTCCCAAGGGTTCCTAGAGCCTTAGGGATTTAGTGGTCTCTGAGTTCCTACGTCTACCATATGTTCACTTTGACAAGTCTGGTATATAGTGTATTGCGTCTGAAGAGTTTAGTATGTTTTTTAGTTTATCTCACGTACCCAACATGTTGTATATGAGGCCTGAGGAGACTGGTATGTGACGTTTCAGGTTCAATAAGTTCCAATATACATACTTTTAACTCGGTAAGGTTTATTAGCCATGCAAATTGATTAGTTAAGATCTCAACATATACGCCATATATCTCACTTTTCTATAAAAAAAACTGAGACTCTCAGTCCAGCATCACAAATAAATCTTTCGTGACATAAATGGCATATTTGTCGCCATATATTTTAATGAACTTTTGCCTGGTGGATACGAGTATTGTCCTCGAACGACACGATGTCGGTAGAGGATATGTATCACCGCGAATTCAGATAACCATTATACTCAACTGATTTATTCGCGTGCGATTATAAATCTCCTAACTAAATGCTCACACTACGGGGAATCTATTTGTAATCCAATCAAGCACGATCTACATTTCAAAACTATAATTCTATCAGAACTTAAAGAATTATTATAACCGTGAATTAAATCCTGAGAAGGACGCAGTTTGTCGATTATTTTTATTGGCATGGGGGCTGAGGCTGCATCGGCTTCGTTTAAGTGAACTTTCTCGAACGTCTTGTTATGCACAGACCAGACGAAAAACACGTGAGATTAAGTAACTGTAAAAGGAATATGTCGTAATCACCACGCGCCATTCGTATGGAAATGCCAGAAATCCTCGGATGCAACTTTCATTCGTCGCGCACAGTTACAGAATCACCCCTCCGCGTGTATAATCGTCGGAACCTCCGGGGGTTTCCTTTAAGCGGAAAACCGCGTGTTGTTCGCGTGGTAACGAAGCGAATGGCCTGTTAATTATTTCATTTACCGGGACCAGTTGGTAGCGCCTCGTTTCCCATACAACTCGCCCACTTTCCCGAGAAATTTCACGCGTCGACTGCGTCGGAATCGATACCTACGAAACAGTGACGAGAAGTTTATGGGAGAAACAGCGTATCGAGCAACCTATTCGAATTCAAACCAGTTTCGAATTATCAAGTGCCTCGGTTCTCGTTCAATTGCGGCGCTCCGTCTTGTAACGAGAATCATAGATCGTTGCAAAGCAGGTATTACACGTAAAATATAGAGTCCTTACTTTGACGATAATTTAAGAGAACAACGAATATAAACTTCTTTGTACAGACAAGAAATTATACTCCAATTTCTTTGAAAGGGGAAAGAATACCTCGCGGGTCCACTCGAATTATGTAGCGAGAAAAAATGTTGGCCATTCAAAATGTCTAACTTCTACCGAAGTGTCTGCATCTTTAAACAACCATTTTTCGGGGTAATAAGGAAATATAGGAGTAGATATCGCTGAAGTTGCCGGGTTTCGTGGCCAAACGAGCGAACGCCGAGGCGGAGCAGGGTATTAAAAATGTATAGGCGACACGAGAGAAAATTTCGCTGGAGCGAAGAAACCGGGACAATTTTCGTTAATTGCCCGTGATTCTTTCATAGCCCACCTTTCCACCGAGTCTTTCTGCGAGAGGTACTAAAACCAATTCCTAAATTGTTACGTGTTGAAATTACTAAGAGTAGGTGGAGTAACCAAATGATCAACAATGTTTAAATAGACAGGTTAACAAAAAGTGAACTCGGTGAATTTAAAAAATAAATTAATTAAAAAAAAAATGATTTGTTATTTAGCTTACCTTTCACTGCGACAAATTTTCAATGGATAGAGAACTCTTCCATATTAATCCATCAGCAATGAAGGACAATTCGAACCATCCGAAGAAAGTATTACCCACAACAGCCAATTAGCTTTTTGAAAGCCAACAATATTTTATCAAAGACTCTAGTGTTCCGAATTGTGGTGTAAACTGAATCACTTATAACAGTAATCTACTCCTTTCTAAAGGTTGACGCAACTATATATGATAAATAAAAAAAAAGAAAGAAAGGTCCGTGGGGTTCAAGGAGAGTCCTTCTCGAGAAATTCAGCTCTTGTCGTTACGGAATTCGTATCCTCGGAAAGGCAACGAAAGCTGCATGGCGGTCGGGTCAATATCGCATTAATTAATTAATTTACGTAATCGAGTTACGTGGCAATTACGGCACTTACGCGGTTGCGCGCCCTGAGAATTCCCGATGCCGAGACAGGGAAGGGATGAAATTTTATCCCATAAATAAAATCACGGAGCGAACCCGAGAACTGTGATTCATGCCAGACAGAATCTCTTTTCTCGAGGAAATATCAATAGAAATTTCGAGATGCCGGTTCCTTATCAATTAATTTCCTCCTTGAAAAATTCCAAACGCGTTACATGCTGCTTTAAACGTTGGAACTACCAAAATCCTGTGATAATGGTGAATTTCATTTTTAAAATGGAATCGCTATCTACTACTATCACCAAATCCTATTGATTTTGGTAATGTAATATTCGTGACGAGTTCTCGGAGACATGAATAAATGATTATTTATTTCAGCGAGAAGTTGCGCAGTATGCAATAATAGCGTAGTAACATGTTAATGATCGAAGTATCAACATGTTAATAATCGAAGTAATGATCCCTTCGAGCGAATTTCAGTACTTAATGTAACAGAAAGGATGAAACTTCAACAGACAGTGGCTTAACTTTGTTAATACACGAGCTTTATAACTCTGTTCCTGAATCGAAACCCAGTTATTAAGATTTTGGAAAGTGGTTTCCAACAATCGGTACTTTAAGAAAGTCTAATGAAAAATGGAATTTCGTTTCTTATCGAGTGAGAGGCTTAAAAACTGTTAAGAGGCTTAAAAGGAAAAGACGAAGAAAGGTCGAAGATGTAAGTCAGCGAACCAGATTCGCTGAAAATCGTTAGAGTACCATTGGAAATTATTTTAACTCTTATTATTAGTAACAAAAAGCTCAGCTTGTTGAAACTTCCAAAATGTAAGTAGAATAAAATTCAATTAGTTTGTGTGTGTTCAGGTAACATAATATAATTATCCCAGGTGCATTAACGGCATAAAATCAGGGAAGCAGGAATTCAATGAATTTCCATAGACTCCGATGGATAGAAAGTTTAAAGGCTTGAACTACCGAAAAGCCACGGGGCACACTGGGTTAGGTGGGTATAACGCCTATTGTAACCACGCGGGCGATAACTGCTCGACTAATAATCTGCTAATTAGAAGTTTCCCGGTCATTATAAGCGAGCACCGCTCCGTTCGCATCGCGTAAAACCACCCACGATCACGAGATTCGTAATATTACATAGCACAATAATTCTACCGCCTGCCATCTTATCTACCCTTTCCCCTCGAGTTCGCTTAATTACCACGATAAGGACGGCTGCACGTATTCATTTACACCTGAGAAACTACGGGTCGATTCAAAGGTCATTCAAAACTTTCGAGAACCTACCATTTGTTACACGCAAATCTCGTTGTATGAAAAAATGTAATTTAAATTAATTTGAAAAAAAGAAAAAAAAATAGAATTGCCGATCAATTTTAAATCTTCTATTTTTTTTAATGAAATGCTATGTTATTTTGATCCCGATGTGATAGCCGGTGTTGAGACGACTGAATACTTTTTGTGTATTCCCCACTTCTTAAAAACAAATCATTTCAAAGTTTTAAATAATTTTATTCGAAGGGACACAAACGTGAAGAATAAACTAGGAGAACACAAGGGTTAGGTGAGTATTGATTAAAAATGAAATATTCTAAAAACGTATTCTACAAATAATCATCAGACCCTTCCTCAGCAGTTAACGGTTAAATATTCTGTCACCTAATGGATGCAGCATCGTATGAACATACAAGCATTATCCCGCATTAAGTACGATCAATCCGAATCATTGAACAACAGAATGACTCGTCCCATAACATATTAATTTTGGCTCAACATATTTCCCAAAACTGCATCCAAATGCATGAACAATTGCATGCACAACATTCGGACCCGAGCTAATGGATCACTTTCCCAATCTCGTAACAAACAATACACCACCGGCCCCTCTTTTCCGACCTGTACGTTCATTCGCGTGAAATATCTTCGACGTCAATATTTCATTTATTCTCGCCACGGGTAGTACGAGCGGAGCACGTAAAATCCCTTTCCATTTTTTCCCCTTCGTGACTCCACCCCCTCCTGTAAAAATATTGCCCGATCTCGAGAACAGTGCGATTTATCTCGTAACATCGCGGGCGCTCGACGTTTTCACAAATCGGTTGATAGTTATTGAAAGAAAAAGGGAGGAAGAAAAAGAAAAATAGAAAATGGAGATTAATGAAAAAAAAAGGCACCCCTTCCTAACTTGCCGTTGTTTTTAATGCAGCCAATTTGCAGAACCACCGTCCGACGGGATCCTCGAAGATGCTTCGAAAAGCATCCCGTCGCTAATTGGACTCTTCAGATATCATCTGCTTTGAATTGTAATTACCGTGAGTCGGCGACGTCTTCGAATTCGCGCCGCGTCTTCTTTCTCATTTCACCGACGATATGGTAAGCTTCATTCTTCCACGGTGCCCATTCTAAATGGCCAGGCTTTCAATCCCCATCGGCCGCGGTGCCCATTCTTCCGCAATCTGTAGCCGCCACCGACCGAGAAGCTTTTAAATGGCCTCGGGGCGATTTCGATGTCACGCACGATCGTAATGTACAATTTCCGCGGGGTTCACCGACGCGCGTTCAGTTAACTTTCAACGATCTTTTTTGTTCTAGTCGGGTCTCTGCTGCCGAGTGAATTTCTCCACGGAGTTTTCCGCGAGGTGTAATTTAGAATATTGGAGACGTTAATTGGTGGTGCGATTTTTAAGATTGACATAAAGT